TTCTCAGAAAATGAGTAGCTCCTTCTCTGCTCTTCGGCGCTTTATGAAGTAACTTTCGAGTGGTAACAAGCTGATGTTAGCCATGCTAGTTAGCTAGTTAACCGCCTCGGAAGCGAGCGATGTCTTGGTGTTAGCTTGAATTGTGATGGGTGGCGCTCTCGTGAATGTGATATTCCTCCTTCTACCAATAATGCTTGCGCCAAGATGTTTTTTGAAACCGTGACTTTTGAAAATCGCAGTAACCGGCCCATGTCCAACCGTGATATATTAAGTGAATGTTCTCCACTGATAATTTGGCCATATTGGAGCATTTTCCTTCCTTTTGATCATCGGATGTCTCTGAAGGTTTGTCCTGAGTGATTATCCTGTGATGTGGGTTAAGTGTGTATTTTTCCTTCCCCTATCTGCTTTGAAAAAGGTCTTGCCAACAAATGTAAATGTTAAAGCTGACTCACGACTGTGGGTGGCGATAAGGCTCACGTGTTTGGTGGGCTGGATTGGTCATCTCGAGTACATTCAACACACACTAAAAGATTTGGATGCACGCGTGTGTTGATTTATTTATTTATTTTTGTTCCTCTTCCCGTGTGAAGTCTTTCACATTTTCAAATGTTAAAATGGTTGTGCGAGTACCTTGCTTTACCCGAACTCAAGACCTTCGCTCCTAGGCCTTTGTTCATTGCTCTGGCAGTTGGCGAGCAGTTTGTAACGCCGCGTCAAGTGCAGCTGCTAATGTAATCTTAGCCGCTAATGTAGGTGGGAGGAATGTACCACTCCACCATTTTTCTGCCTTGGCTAATTTAACAAAAGATTTATGATTATAGTTTCAGTTTGAAGCGGCGTACAACTGTACTGCACGCATCATATAATGGAATGAAACCACGCAAATAAAAGTACTGTTAAATGAATACCCCTCCGTCAATCAAAAACGAGGCATTATTTCGTATTAGATCATGTAAGTGTACCTAATAAAGTGGCCCCAAGCCATGAGAAGTATTTTATTTTATTTTTTTTTGCTTGTGGTTTTCACTTCTGCCACTGTCTAACCTCCACCCAATTGTCACTTGGTGGAAAGCAGAAGCTCAGAAGCTTGCGGTGAGTCGGCATGGCAGCAGAAAGGCAGATGTGGTCCACAGGAAGGACACGTACTGTCGAGCACAGCACGAGCAAGTGAGGACGTGACTTGGTCATACTGCGATGACATCATCTGGAAGAATAATTGCATCCACCCACTTTCTATAGTGCCTTCACTGGTGCCTTTTGAACTATAAGATCGCTGTGATGTTGTGAAGTGACTCGTGTTGTAAGATGTGACCACCTGAATGTCAGGAAAAGCCAACTAGAACAGCTGAGCTTCAGTTAGGTTAATCGGAGGCAATTTAAAATGGTGGCTGGTGTGTGCTGACTCCCATTTAATGTTGAACACAGCCACATCGCCAGTTACCAGAGGCTTTGCCCAACCGTAATAACTGTGTTTTTCAAATCAATGTAGTTGTACATGTTATAGGGCAGGGGTCCCCAACCTTTTTTGCCCCACGGACCGGTTTAAGTCAGACAATATTTTCAGGGACCGGCATTTAAGGTGTGGCGGAATTAATACAACAAAATAATATGGTATGAGCTGCATGAAAACTGTGGTGTTTTCGAAATATAATAATAAACACAAGGAGCGTCTAATCTGGTCGCAACACTCTTATCGCTCTGGTAATGTTTAATGCCTTCAAAATACGATACAACGCAAATTCAAAGTGCATGAAAATGACGACTCACCACAGCCCCGAGCTTGATTTTCTGCAATCAGACAGTCCCATC